CACAGAAATGACCAAAGATAAATTTTTAAAATCGATATCTACTCCAATTTATTAATGTGTATCTATGTATCTAGATCTTCTCCATTGTCTGCGTAAAACTCTCTCTCTCTCTCTCTCTCTCTCTCTCTCTCTCTCTCTCTCTCTCTCTATCTCTCTCTCTCTCTATATATATATATATATATATATATACACACGATATATTAATTTATATACAAATACAAGGTCTAATTTATTTATTCATATATACATAGCTATGTGATAATAATGATAATAATAATAACATAATAATAATAATAATAATAATAATAGTTAATCATGGTTAATCATAGCAGATGTTATTAAGCCGATAATGATGGATTAGGGCGGTTGTGATTGTGATGTCGGGATAATAATAAAACCATAAGAATAATACTAACAACAACAATAATAATAATAACTATATTAATGATAATAATAACAACAATAAACGACAATGTTGATGAAGCAGTTATTGTTATTATTATAACTAGATATTATTATATTTTATTATTATTATTATAACTAAATATTATTATTATTATAACTAGATATTATTATATTTTATTATTATTATTATAACTAAATATTATTATTATTATAACTAGATACATTACATTTTTTTTCAGTTAAACACAGTGCTAATTATACAATGACAACATATACATCTATATAAGTTTATACAAAAATACATACATACATACATACATACATACATACATACATACATACATACATACATACATACATACATACATACATACATACATACATACATGCATACATACATACATACATACATACATACATACATACATACATACATACATACATACATACATGCATACATACATACATACATACATACATTCATACATACATACATACATACATACATACATACATTCATACATACATACATACATACATACATACATACATACATACATACATACATTCATACATACATACATACATACATACATACATACATACATACATTCGTACATACATTTAATTTATATTTATTTACAACAACAGTAACAGCAATAACATTGTCAATAATAACGACACTAATAACAGCTCTATTATAAACGACAACAACAAACACATCAACAACATCAACAACAAAAACA